ATTTGACAGAGATCACAAGTAGGCAGAGAGGCAGGCAGAGAGAGAGAGGAGGAAGCAGGTTCCCTGCTAAGCAGAGAACCCAATGTGGGGCTCAATCCCAGGACCCTAAGCCGAAGGCAGAGGCTTTAACCCACTGAGCCACCCAGGTGCCCCCCCATGTTTACATTTTAAGAGCATAAACGAACTGACAAGGTAGTAAGAGGCAACCCCACCAGACCCCTGGAGGACCCCAGAGCAGAGAGCACAGCAGAGCACCGCACCTGACAGTGGGAAGGAGCCATGCTGGCCGCCCCCAGCAGCCTGCGCAGTCGGAGGATAGAAGCTGAAGCCTGGGCTCCGCCCAAGCTGGGACAAGGAAAAGAACATGCTCCAGACTCCAGATGACTGGGGGGGCGCTCTCTGGGCTCGGAGAGGGGCTGGAGGTGGAAGGGACGGGTCTCTGAAAGGCTCTGAAAGGCAGCCCCGAAAACCTCTGCAGCTCCTTTCCGGGCTTCCGGGGTGGCTGGGCCAGGCAATCCCGCGGAAGCGAACATGGTCCCCGCTGGAGGAAGGTTTTTTCTTTATCCTACATGTTGAGGACTCTCCCCCAGGGAATATTTCAGTAGGAATAAGCAGCCCAGACTCCATCTGGGGTCATGTATTCTCCTCTCCCACGGCTCTTCCTCTGGTCCACCTTTAGTAATTCCCCCGAGGTTCTGAAGGCCTTCACTGGGCAGGAGGGAGGCCCCGCCTCGCAGGTGGGCCAGGGGGTGTCCCAGGCTCCTGTGGAGCTCACCGGGCAGGGGCCGGGGGGTGGGGGCAGCCATGGCAGAGGGAGCCGGGCAGCCGGGAGCGGGATGCCTGCAGCACAGCTCGGCGTGGAGGGCACGGGATGCAGGGGGCGCTTAGTCAGAGCTGCCGCAGGCTCGTGAGCCCCGGGGACATGGGGCAGTCAGGCACCAGGACAGCTGCATAGTAAAAGCCAGGAGACCAAAGGGAACTTTGAGTCTGACCATCGCTGCTGCACCTGCCTGCAGAACACAGTTTTATGCTCAGGTACTAAGCCACACCCTGTGAGACAGTGACGGAGTGGCTCTTAAACTTCACCGCACATCAGAACCTCCGGGGGAGCTGGCATTTAACCAATTAATTAATTATTTAATTAATTTTAAGATTTTATTTATTTATTTGACAGAGAGAGGCACTGAGAGAGGGAACACAAGCAGGGGGGAGAGGTAGAGGGAGAAGCAGGCTTCCTGCTGAGCAGGGAGCCTGATGTGGGACTTGATCCCAGGACCTGGGGATCATGACCTGAGCTGAAGGCAGCAGGTTAACGACTGAGCCACCCAGGTGCCCCTATTTATTTATCTTTTAAGTAGGCTCCACACCCAACATGGAGCCCAATGTGGGGCTTAAACTCACGACCCTGAGATCAAGAGTTGACGAAACCACCCAGTGCCCCTCCCCTGGGGAGCTTAAAAAAAATCCTAATTGTTTTAGGCAAGAATCATAAAGAGATGCCAAAGCTAAGAGTCCGACCGGACATGGGGTATTACATAATCTCAGTATCTCCTAAGGGAAAACGGGAACTGGAAGAGCCCACCCTCCAATGGGACAGGTCA